GAGATTCCTGGCTTGGATCAGCACTAGCAGGGCCAGCAGGACTAGGGCAAGGATTTCCCCTGCACTGGGCACTGGAGAGGCCACCCCTCAAATCCTGGGATCAGTTTTGGGCCCCTCACTCCAAGGACAACCTTGAGGGGCTGGAGCATGGCCAGAGAGGGGCAGTGAAGCTGAGGAAGGGTCTAGAGCACAAATCTGGTGAGGAGCAGCTGAGGGACCTGGGGTGTTGAGCCTGGAGCAAAGGACCACTCTATATTCCTATGACTGACTTTACAAGCTACATACTTTTAATATTTTTTTAAAGTCATGCCTATGATGGATCACTTCTCATTTTAATAACTTCTGCATTTTGAGTCATCTGTTTAAATTTCAGACAAGCTTCTAGACTTGGCTCCTGATGTAGGCTGGGATATTTGAAATATTAACAATTTAATATGTGATACCAGGGGTATTAAATTCATGAAGAGTGTTCAGTTGTTAGCATTAAGTAATCCAAGTAGTGGATTCTAGGTAGGAGGTAAAAAAAGAGTCACAAAAGTTTTGAACACTGGTGGTTACGCTACTGAAGACTTCTTCTGCCTCTGAAAAGGCTTTTCAAAGGGAGGATGATTTGCTGTAACTCTTTTGGAAAATACCAAATAATTTTTCATATTTAATTAAACAGGAATTGAACATTGTTGTTCAATTATTATTCTTCCTTTTTTAATTTGCAGGAGGGTCCCATCTTTCACCTTACACGTTCATGTCTTGCAGCACCTCATACAGGTCTAGAGAGACCTCAGACATCTGACCATAACGATCCTTTTTGACCGAAAACTCCTCCCCAGACGCAGCTTACCTGCTTTGAAACAGGGGACGCTCATGGTTTCGTTGGTGAGCACACAAACACTTCTCGTATTGTCCTCAAAGGGCAACAAATCCAGCCCCGCGTCAGTAAAATTCTGGTTCACAGCCATCAAGCCCAGCGGGTTTGTCTGGTTTCTGATGCTCCTTGCCAGGGAGTCCTCGCTGCCATACACGGTGCTGGCGTCGATGAAGGAGCTGACGGCGTTGATCTGCTCGCGGGTGAACAACCCGGGGTTGCACGCGGCCGCCGACTGGATGAAGGGCATGCAAGAGTTGGACCTCGGCATCCGGGGGTCATCGGGGGGGAACTAAGGCAAAGAGACAGAAGTGATGCCTCAAAGTCATGTGGGTTTCGTTTTTATTGCCTTAAGTTGGCGTGAGATGGAAGGAAAGGCAGGGTACCTTAATTGGGAAGCAAGGGGGCTTGAAGGCACAACTGGTCTCACACTGAAGTTCTGGGTTCGGTCCTGCGGCGCTGGAAGGGGCTAAATCTATGTCGTGGTTGACCCACTGGCCCCAGTGCATGAAGACAAGGGAGAGCTCTTGGTCTGGAGTGATGTTCTCATTGGCTGTGTGAGCAATTTCATTTGACACTTTTCGAACCTGCAGAAAGTCAAAGTGAAAATGTCCGTGGCTGTATCTACCATGGTGACCTTGCCTCTCAACACGTATGGGATCATGCCCAAGATGGTCTTAGATAAGGTTGTAGGAGTTAATGATGACATTAAACAGACACATGCCGTGCCCTAGCTATCAAAACAGATCTGATAAGTAACAGCCACTTGACTCCAGTCACTCAGCCAAGCCCAGCTTCATGGAAAACCCTTTTCAGCCAAAACTGATGTATATGCACATGTCCAGAGAGTCAAGAAGATGGCTGAGGACATCCCAAGCTTTATGGTCTGTATAGACATCTGGTGCATCTGAGCACACCGTGGTGCTGTCTGCACCAAACCTTGGGATGCACACATCTGAAAATGTTGTCCATGCTTTGCTAAGTGAAGTATTGACCTTTTTGCTTATGTTTTCTTGGAGGCAAACATGTCACCCCAAGCCACAGCTCAGTTGTAGGAAACAAGCCTCAAATGAGCACCTGGGATGAGAGGAAAGGATCAAGCAATTCACACTCGAGATGTTGCTGTTTCATTTCTGAAGGATGCAGCGAGGGGAGTGCCCACTGCTGTTACCTGGACAGGAATGAGTTCTCACCAGGGGGAGTGGGAATCCGTTGTAGAGCTTTCCTCCAGTGGCTCCTCGGGGCACAGACACCCCATCCTCATACTCTGCAGGGAGCCAGCGAGCGAACGCGCCGTTGGAGGAGCCCAGCTGGGAATGCTCCCTGCAGCACCACAAGAAAAGCATGTACCAATAACATATCAGAAACAAACAGGCTTGGAGGGACTAATGCTTTGGAGCCCCTTAATCCATGTCTGATTACTGTGGTAACAGACCTGATAGCCAGAAAACACTGAGAAGTAAATCATCTATTATTACTGCAGTGAAAAATGAACTTTTTGGACACTATATTAATTTTACTTGGCATTCAGGTTTCTGTAGTGCCTCCACCTCCACTGCTGCTCCAGATAAAATCAGTCTCACTAGGATCAACTCAGGTCAGCTGCCCTGGCTGACTCCAAACTGCCAATGGCCTGCAGAGCATGGCTGGTCCAGGATTTTGTCCCAGAAAAAAAAAGCAGGCCATGCTACAGAACAGTGGGAGGGATGATTTCCTAGAACTTCAAGCTGAGTGAAAGCCCCAACATCTGCTTTCCTCAACTCCTCACCTCCAGAGGTCCCTTCCTCCATCCAAAGCAGCACATGAAGGGCAACGAGCTCTAATCTGAAATTTTCAAGATATTTCTTGAAATACCTTTATCCTGCCAGGCATAGATAGAATGAAAAATCTGTTACAGGCACCACTAAAATAAGCATTTCACTTTTCTCACCCTGTTGAAAGGTATTTACACAAGTGACCTTAAGCCATCTACCCTGGGTCAAAGTAGAGACTTGAAACTCTCCTTGTCCACACACAGGTCCTACCTGTTGTTGCACTCCCCAGTAATGGTCCGGTAGATGTCATTGTCTGGGCACTTAATGGAACGAACCTGATAGTCACAGCCAGTTTCTTTGGAAATCATGTCCTTCTGTCTTCTGTCTAGTAGGTCTGCAAGAGAAACCATGCAAAATAACATCTGCTTTTACTCTTTGTTACAATTTTAGGTTCTTGGTATTTTAGGTCAACATTTCAGTCATAGTCAGAGCTGTAGAGATAGAACAGCTGGATGGGAATGGTTATTTTGGAGCCTAAACCCTTTTGTGGATCATCTCTAGAGAAACTGGGTTGGCACAGAGCAGCTTTCCAGGGGAGCTCCATCCCCAGCAACGTTTCACCCTAGACTGGGAACAAAACAATGAGCATGCAGAGGGGTACAACCTGGGTCATGGCAGAGCAGCTCTCTGCTGCTCTGGTAATTTTCTGTTCTTAGTGGTAAAGTTCTTTGGTGGTAAATTTTCTGTTCTTAGCTGTTTCTGAGACGTTTTGGTCTCAACCTCATTACCTGTAACGTTAAATCTCCGTCTCCCAGAGAGATGCAGCTTCATACTGAGGAGTTTCAAAGTAGTTTCCAAGTAATCACCAGCACGGACTGCAGATCTGGTTCTTCCTACTGGGTCCTTTAAGTGCTTCAGGAAATCCATTGGGTTGACAGCCTTCCCCTTTAGTTTTCTCTTTAAGCTAAACATAAAAGATTTCCATGAAGTGCCCTCTCTGAAACCAGACCTCTGCCACACCAAGGCTGGGTGTCCTTAGCTGTGACAGCACTGCTGGGTCTCAGACAGTTTCTGCTCACCTAGGACAAGCTGGCTGCTCACCAGCTTTGCACATCATCTCAGATTTTGGCAAACAAATCACTGTGATCCCCTACTTCAAGTTTGCATTATGTCCTTGGCACAATGGATTTTGTTCTATTGTGTGAAAAGCTAAATCAGTGGTAAACTGAGTTATTTGGTGACAGGATAAAATGTTACAGTTAGGATGTCACGAGATATTTTCTGTGACCAGAGAGACAACCTTGGTCCTGTTGCATCTCTTCCCAGTCCCATGGCTCTTTCTTGCACAATAAAAAACCTCCTGTAGCATGGGTGGAGAGAGACTCCTCCCCAAAACATCCTCCTGCCTGGAATCAGCCTTTTTGGGACAATCCCTGAAGGGACACCTGGGGTCTGACTTCCACTAAGACTTATTTGTGCCACGGTGCTTTTTTGCACAGCTGTGGTCCTTGCAGAGAGGGGCAGAACTTCAGCAGCCAGGAGAAGGCTCAACATGAGCCTGGGGTCTCATACCATCATGGACTACTGAGAGGTGTAAGTGAGGAGCTCAGAGCTGCATGTGATGAAAGGTGGCCCTCAGACTGAGATGGGCTACTAGAATCCAGCCAAACTGGGCAAAAAGATCTCTCCAGCTATGATAGGGAGAGCATTTGAACAAAGGCTTCTCTGTAATAAATATGCACTGGAAAACAGAAGAAATACACATATATTTCCTCTTATTTCCCTGTAATGTTGGGGCCCTTATGCCAAAAGAACTCACCTTTTTCGGGCACGTAAATATGCTGTGTCTACCAGCTGCCTGGCTTCACTGATGCTGCTCAGAAGAGATGAGTCTGATGGCACCTCTGAGTCCTCTGCTAAAAAAAATTTTTAAAAAAAAAGAAGAAAAATGAAAAGCAGAAATTGAGGGTAGTTTGCAATGCACACCAGGAGCAACACATCCCACCCCATCACTGGGTGCTGAGGTACATTGAGCCACTTCACACACAGCTCCCACCGTGGGTTTGGTGCTAGCTGGGCACCTTTATCTGTGCTTCTCTTGCTCAGCTGCTTCATTCTTGAAAGGCTCAGGACAAGAAGCGACTGCAAAGCAGTAGCTTATTACCCATTTCACATAACTGGCTCTGATGGCTTTTAAGAAGTTATTTTTCACCCTTCTTTTTGAAGCTATTCTTCCCTGGGAGAAGGGAAATGCATAGAAGAAGCCAAATATATGATCTCTGACCCAAGTTCCCTGTTCCAAAATGATGATCATGTCCTTGGAATATCTATTGGTTAAACAGACAATTTCCTCAGATAAGTTTCTTAAGTATTGACTTCATTGTCAGTGGGTCAATCTACAGGATATTTCATATTTATATTGGACCTATACCTAACTAGAAACTCAGACTGAGCTTCAACTCACATCCTTTCAAGCACGACAGCAGCCAAAGGAGAAACAGAAACTTACTATTTAATGAGGAGTCCATTGTCCCAGCTAAGCAGAGTGTGATGATGGATCCTAAGAGAGTAATTCTTAGGCTTATCCCTAAAAAGAAAAGCAACATAAAGCTTCTGATTGGGCAGAGCTTCAGTGAAGCATCAGAAGAGATTGGCAGGTTTGGCTTGAGTATATCTTTCAGGATCCAGGAATAAAGCCCAAAACCCCTCAGATCAGGTCCATAAGTGGCTCTCTAGCAGGTGAGGGCTGTAGGTGTTGGCAGGACACAGGGACATCCTTGTGGTGTGGGATGATCAGTAAACTGGGCTGAGTAACTGCCAAGGAAGAGGCAGCCAAGTACAGTCCAGGCTTCAGTGATGGAGACCGTTGGGAAGGTGCAGTGGAAGAGGGCAGTGCCATAGTGCCCTGCCTTTAGGAGAGTCCTCAGGTGGCTGGTGGAAAAGAGATCGACCCCACACATCCCTCTCTGCCCCCTCTGCCACGTTTCTGAGCAAAACAAACTCATCCAGCACCAACCCTGCAGCCTTCTACCACCTCTATTAGTTTTCTTGATGGTCCCTGAAATTTGTCTCTATTCTTTTTCCACATTACCACTAGAAGGCATATCTTCTGTTCCCATCAGTGTTCCATGGACAAGGGCCTTCCCTTAAAGGGGATCTTTAGCCAAAAGGTTACAATTAGATCTATTTTAAGTAATTTAGGCAGTGTTGTAATGTTTAGACCAGGAAAGGTGGACAAAATTTGGAAGAACTGATGAACTTCTCACAGGGGGGAGAAATTATCTTATAGAAGTAAGAAATTATCTTACATTTACAGTCTGGGGAAATCCTTTAACCATCTTTACAAGCTTTGGAGGCTGCTTATTCCTTGCAATCCTATATTGCAGGGTATTTTTACATGAGGCAGAATAACTGTCTTTTCTCACTTCTCAAAATACATGTATCTCACATGTAGGAGAAGTAAGTATGAAGGACCACCAGCTCTTAATGCTCTACTCTGACTTCTCATCTTCTTGGGCTCACCCATGGACTGCACCAATACCTGCACCAGAAATATCCAACCAGCCCAATACAGATAAAAAATTAAAAAGCCCTGATCTTACCTGCCATCTCTGCAGAGCTGGGAGGGCTGGGAAACAAGCCAGTCCTTTATAACACCTGACCCAGGTCAGAAATTAGCCAGGCCTGGCCTGGGTGTGGCCAAAAAAGGGAGAAACTGGGATGAGCTCGAGCCAAGAGGAAATATCTGCTGGTTTGCTTTCTGAGATTACACAGAAGGTGCACACTTCTCCATTCCTTCAGGGTAAAGGTTGAGCTCCTTTTTGGGAAGGGAGAAAGAACAAAAGCACACATTTTCCATCTGCAAGTCAAAGAGATTAGCTTTATTTTATGATGGTAAAAGATGGTGGAGGAATTTGGCTTCTTTTTCCCCGTTGGTTGCCATCTCTGATGGTTTGAGAAGCCAGAAATGGATCATTTTGCCAACATGCATTCGTGGAGTACACCCAGGCTGAAACCCAGCATGGACCTACCAAAACTGCAATCCAGGAAAACCAGGATTCTGTCCCATTTGAAACGGCCTCGTGAGATGGTTTGTGTAATTAAACAGTAATCAGATCATCAGTGATTTGGAAATGCATATAAAATAACTGCTGGTCATTGCAGATGAGACAGACTGCACAAAGAACAAGGCAGCTGCACAGAGCAAGCTTGAGCTGCCTCCAGTGAAATCCTTCACACAGGAATATGGAGAATCACAAGGTTATAGCTGCACAAATAAGAACAGATCAGAGGTGGAAAATAGGAGATTTTAGAAATATCTAGAAAGGAGCCAAGTGTTGGGCCAGATGATCACTTCAACGTGGATTATGACATCTCTTACAGCAGGTAAAAAGGGCCACACTTCAGTGGACGTATGGGAAGGCAGCAGAGAGGATATAATGCCTTGAACATCAGCAGGCTGACCACAATAGACAATGCTGAATTCTTACTGACAGTCAGCCATGCAAATCTCACAAGATTAGGTAGCTGATCCTTCCTACTGTCTAAATATTTTCACAGTTCTTATGAAGCCAAAGTCAATAAAAAGAAAATATGAGAAAGGAAACTGCCAGTAAACGTGTATTGGTTTAAATCTGGGGAAAAAAAAATACATAAGAATTGTGAAAGTCAGGTTTTCAGAGACTGAAAATACAACTTCTCCCCCAAAGAGAAATTCAAACCCCAAGGCAGAAGCTGGGCTGTAGTATTCCTTCTGCCCAGTGTTGGAGCAATCTACCTCCATCAGCCAGCAGCTCTGGAGGAGAGGACCTGACACACCAGGATGGTCTCACTCTCCAGCCTGGCATGGTAAGTGGTGAGGTTTGCTAAGGAAAAAACCCTCAGGTCCCCAGGAGGAGCTGGTACCAGGAGGAGTACTCCCAGGAGGAGTCTTGTAGTAGCTGCACGTGTGCTTGAGTGCCCCGGGCCCAAGGCATGGTCAGCTCACTCCTGACTCTTCTCCCAGTGGAAAATTCCACAGGGTTGGAACAGCAACAGCAAGGATTGCTCAGGAGGTGGCACCACAGATGTTTCTAGCATCATGGAGTTGTTCACTTCAGTGGTTTCTCCAGCTTCGTGATGCCCAGGAGGGAGGTTGTTAGCTCTCTTTGAAGTCCCCCTATAAAGGCTAATCACCTAACACCCAAGGCTATGAAACCTTCTTTGTGCAGCCCTCTGGGGTTATGCCAGGTCAGTGTGACTTCAGCAGGGCAGGGTGCTCAGAGCTCACTCTCACCCAAGCAGTAGGTGCAGTTCCCAGGGCAGGGAAGCTAGAGATGGCCATTGGTGACTTGCTAGCCCAGTGGTAGGACCCACCACACCCACCAGGACAAGCTACTGCTCCTAGCCATGGGTGCTTGACTCCTTCCCTGAGCAGCAGCTAGCTTCTCTTCCCTTTGAACAACTATCCTTCCCCAGGGCTGCTCCCCTGTTCCCCTTCCCACGGACCAAACTCCCTCTTCATGAATAAAATCTTCAGCTCCTTCTCATGAACCAAACTTCTCCCTGTCCCACCTTTTACTAAAACCCCTCTTGCATCCCTTCCACTTTTCTTTCAGACTGGAGATGGCTTCTCTGGGGCTGGCAGGTCTAGAAGCAGACCTTACGTGCTGTTTATGCCAAAGAGAAGAATGGTTTCTTCATTTTTCCAGTTTATGTTATCTTCCTGCTCTGGAACCAGTTCCCATCGTATCTGGAAGTCTGGGACACAGCCATAACCCAAAGCAGGGGCAGTTCTCAGGCCCCTAGAAAGCAAATTTTGTGGTTTGGTCCAACACTTAACCACATGAAGGAATGTCTGTATGGGCAGAGGTTGTGGGGGTCCATTACTGTTCACCATGCACAAGTAGCTGTCTCCTCTTGGTCATCATATACCACTGTGTGACAAGCAGTGAGATGTTTGTGTCATGGACAGGACAAGGTGACTTCAACATGGCATCAAGGACAGGATGCAGTGAATGGTGACCACTCTGCTGGGCCAAATCAAGCTGGGAGATGAAAGACAGAAAACTTGCAAGTAGAAACAGAGCTTGACCAGTTCTTTGTGGAAGGATGAAGTCAGTCTCCCGACAGACCTTGTGGTTTGCTGCATTGCATCACACTGAAAAGTGCCACTGATTAAAAGAGAAGAGCTGACAGGTCTCTGTTGAGCTCAGGCTTTTCTCTGAACACATCCTGTTCTTCCTACTAGGCAAGAGTGTTTTGTCTGTAAATATCACAAGAGCTGGAGATGAAAATAGGTGATCACTGCTGGTGACAGGAGATTAGATAAGAAAAAAAGTCAACAACAAAAAAACCACCCCCATTTCCAAGAAATATTGTGGGAATTCTGGCCAGTGCAATGGAATTCTGAGTCCACTCAGACTGCAGGAAAGAGATGGGCAATAGATTTCTCCTCCAGTCTCCAGACCCTTCTGCCCGGGGTCCAGAGCTCTCCAGACCACATCCTTTGCCCTCCTTAACCCCTTCAGATCTCTTTTTCAAGCTCTGGTCCCCTCCTCCATTAGAGCACCACTGTTTTCCACATCCTTCTTCTCCCTCTCTGATCCTCTCCAGGTCCCTTCGTTGTGGTCTGGAGCCCCTCATCCTTTCCTTATGCACTGTGGAACCCCCAGATCCTTCCTTTTGGGGTTCAGTAATTTGCAGGTCTCTGTGCTCTGCTCAGATTCCTCCAGGTTCCTCCATTTGCTGTGTGAAGGATGTTCAAACCTTTACCCTGAAGTGAAACCTCACCTCAACAGACCTCTTTGGATAACACATGCAGGAGGAGCACCGCTCCCTCTCTGATCCTCTCCAGGTCCCTTCGTTGGGGTCTGGAGCCCCTCATCCTTTCTTTATGCACTGTGGAACCCCCAGATCCTTCCTTTTGGGGTTCAGTAATTTGCAGGTCTCTGTGCTCTGCTCAGATTCCTCCAGGTTCCTCCATTTGCTGTGTGAAGGATGTTCAAACCTTTACCCTGAAGTGAAACCTCACCTCAACAGACCTCTTTGGATACCACATGCAGGAGGAGACAGGACCTCCCACCATGTCCATGTCCATGTCCCCACCCCTGATGTGACCAGTGGTCCCAGCTCCTGGGATGCTGATTTCCACACCAGCCTGAGCTCTGTGCAGGGCAGGTGGTGGCAGCAGTGCCCGTGCTGGCTGTGCAGCGGGGGCCAGGACAGCAGAGCCCACGTCTGGGGGGGATCAGGTCCCGTTCTGACCCCTGGGGCAGGGGGACAGCCAGGGACCCCCTCGTGGAGCTGCTGTGGTGGCCGAGTGGTGAAGGCGTTGGACTTGAAATCCAATGGGGGTTCCCCACGCAGGTTCAAATCCTGCTCACAGCGGGAGCTTTTACTGGCAGCCCCTGTCCTCCTGTCCCCTCAAGAGGGACAGACAGACACAGACCTGTCACCCCTCATCAAGGAACCCTTCATTCCCACCTTGGCCCTGTCCCTGAGCCCCACGGACCCCTTATCTTTAGGAGAGGGCGAAGACGGTACCATCTCCAGGGGAGACACCTCTTCTTATCACAGCCCTGCACCTCTTCTTATCACAAGAAGAAATCCTGTGATAGCATCTGCTCCTGGTCGCACTGCCCCTACACCCACGTCACCCTTGTCCCTCCAGTCACCTCGCCCTGCTCCCTGCAGCCCACCACGGGCTCATGGCTGCCCCCCACCCGGGGTGTTTTTTCTGCTGGGAGGTGTAATTTGATGGCTGTGGGGGAACAAGGGGCTACTGCCAACCCTCAAAATTCATCCAGCCCTGACCGTGGGAGGTCCTGAGCCCTGTGCTGAGCCCCAGGAGCTGCCCAAGGGAAGTGCAGCCACCCAAGAAAAGGCTGAGACCTGCAGTGGCTGCAGGAAACCCCTTCCCTGGCTGGGAATCGAACCCAGGCCGTGGCAGTGAGAGTGCCAAATCCTGACCACTAGACCACCAGGGATGAGGTGATGGTGGGGATGGACCTGTTGGTGCCCACCAACCAAGCCCTGAAGGGACAGGGACACTTGGCCCCGCAGCCCAAGGAGATGACCAGCTGGGATGGATGCCACAGCCTTTCTGGGGGACAGCTGAACTGTCACCTCTCCCTGCAGAGCCCAGCACAGCGGGGTTCAGACCCGAGGGGAATGAGCAGGGACCCCAGGGATGGCACCCAGGGGGATGCCCACCCAGGAGCCCTGCCCGCCCCAGGCTGTGCACAGGGGGCAAAGCCCCACTTGTGCCCCTGGGCAGGCAGGAGGAAGCTCTGCCGAGCTTCTGGTGATGGACCAGCCCTGACTAGGGTGGAGATGAACTAAAGGGCTCCAGGAACATTTCCCACAGAAGACAGCAGAGGGCCCAGTGCTCTTCAGATGCTCCTCTGTGGCTGGGAAGGGAAGCAAATGCACAGTGAGAAAAAGGGAAGAGGGGAGAAAATTTTGTACAGAGGGTGGTGAGACCCTAGCCCACGTTGCCCAGAGAGGTGGTCAGTGCTCTATCCCTGAAAACATTCCAGCTTAGGTTGGGTGGGGCTCTGAGCACCCTGCTCTAGCTGCAGATGTCCCTGCTCAGTGCAGGGGCTTGGACTGGATGACCTTGAAAGGTCCTTTACAACCCAAACCAGTCTATGACTCTGTGATCTGAGGCCAAATCCCAGCACGATCCCCCCTGCAGCCCTGCCATGGCTTGGTCTGGGGTCAGAGTGGGACATCTGGCATCCAGCTCCCCTGCCCCATGGTTCCCCAGTCTCTGCCCAGGTTTCTCTGCAGTGCCTGGTGCATCCCAGCCACTGTGCCTGGTGCTCCCCAGCCACTGGCTGTTGACTTTGCCACCACCTTCCCATGAGAAGCTGCACAGCAGCGAGCAGGAGGGGACAAGGGGAGGCAGTGGGTGGCTTTGGAGCAGTGCAGAGTAGGACGAGGAGAGCAGGGAGGATTGTCAGCCTCTTGCAGGAGCCAACCTGGAGCCAGGATGGAGCCACGATGAATGCTTTGACATCTTTCCAACACTGGCACCAATATGGGACGACCAGGGCTCCAGAATACATCTGCAAAAAGCTGCACAGGGCCACAAGCCCCAAGTGAGGGCAGGGCTGGTCCCAGGAGATGACACCACCCCTGTGCTGGGCTGGGGCACAGCCACCCTGCACTTTCAGAGAGATGTGCCAGCGTCATGGTTTCAATTGTCTCTGCAGGCTCTAGCAGAGCATGAGCTCTGGCAGCCCTGCGGTTGGGGAAGCAGCAGAATCACCCTGTGGTTTCTTAGATCTCTATCTGGACCTCTCAGATATTTTGTCACAGACAGTAACGGCTCCTTCCTTTGCCAGGAGATCTGGGCAGCCCAAAGCAGGTTCATTTGCACGTCCCATGGCAGGATGTTCTTCTGTGATGGCAGAAGAAGGGGAGATGAGTGGCTGCCACCCCACCAGAAGCCACAAGGAAGTGATGCAGTCCAGGACCTGCACGTTGGAGCCCAGGAATACACGGGCCCACGTGATGAGCTGTAAAAATGGTGGAGAGGTCAAAATTGACTTTTTTGACCTCTCCACCATCTGCCATCTGCCCCAGGCTCAGCGTTGGGGCAGCAGGGACAGGTCAAAGCTCAATCCAAAATGCTGTTGTAGGGAGGAGACAGGCTGGGACATCACCTTGATGGATCTGGAGCATGAGAAATACATAAATTAGAGAGAACAATGGGCTAATGGCAATATTCCAGCTGAGATTTCATCCCTTGCAAAGCCTGAGTACTTGCTACCGTGTTGCTGTGCTGCCCCAAAATGTCACCACCACGTGTCTGTGACAACCTCGTGGTGTCAGTCACTTGATTCACCTCCAGGTCCTTCACATGGGTTTGAAGGCAGAAGTCCTCAGGGTCTCCAGGACAACACCACTTCCAGCCCCAGGGGGGTGGCTCCTGGGAGGATGAGCTGGGGAAGCCATGGACCCTCACCCACGCCAGCAGGGTCCCTGGCACAGCTCATGAGGACCCTCCTGTGACACTGGTCCCACCCATGGAGACATCGTGCTGAAGGGGACACAAGGAGAGACACAAGGAGGTCTCCAGGGTCTTGAGAGACCCATGCAGCATGGTGAGGGACAAGGAGAGTGCAGAGCAGCACTGCCCTGAGGTCTCTGCTGCATTCCTGGGGCTGTGGGGCAGCAGGGAGATCCTGGGCAGATGAGCCCACGGTGCCTCGTGTTCCTGCTGGGAGCCTGATGTGAAAATACCCCGAGAAACCACAGGCTGTGAGCTGGCAAATTGGGTGCCTGTTGTGGAGAAGAAGGTGGTGGAAAAGGGGAAATGGTCCCTGGGGCATCCTGGGGAACCTGCTGCCTCGTGGCAAGGGCAGTGCTGGAGGCTCAGGCAGCACCACGTCACGATCCCCGTGACTGGGAGCGTGCCCAGGACTGCTCCTTCTCCACTCCCCTGGCAGGGGAACCTCCTGCTCCGCCCTCTGCACCCCACCTTGGGCCAAACCCCTGCTGGCACTTGTGTTCACCACCTGTCTCTGGCAGGAGATGGCATTTGTAGAGTCAGACCATCAAGCTGGGCTCCCCAGGTGAGCACTCTCCTTACTGGCTGATGCTGGGGCACGTTGGGAGGGGTTTGGAGGTTCCAAGCTCCATACTGGATGCCCATCATTGAGGATTTTCTGTTTTCTTGTGCCAAAACTGCCAGCCCAGACCTAGAACCAGTCTGCAGGGTGCCAGCACAGGCAGCAGAGCTCAGAGCGTGCCCCCCTGCACCCACCTCGGGCATGTCCCAGACCCTCTGTGGGAGCAAGGACCCCCCTAGCTGGACCTGCACTGTCCCCAAGACCCCGTTTTGAGAGTCTGGGCATCTTTGTCTTTAAGGCCTTGGCCCCTGAGAAGGAGATTGGGTTGTCATCCTCCTGGTCCTTTGGGCAGGCTGTTGAGATGGGTTTGATGAGCCCTGCTGTCGTGCTGGTGAATCTGGGCTTGAACCTGCAGTTGAGGGGTGGTTTCATATCCTGTCAGGCCAGTACAGTCCTTCTGTGGGTGCTGATTTGCTCAGGCTTGCCTCACCTCACACAAAAGCTATTTTCGTGTTTCCAAAACCTTCTGCTTCCTTTTTTTTTATAACAGTTGTGAGGCAGAGGTGCCATGACATCAGCTCCACGACGCTGTGGAAACTCCAAGTTTGCGTTGAGACCCGACTGGTGGGACTGGCCACCCTCCCTATAAAAAGCTGGGGCTGAGCCACCACCTCACATCAGACACGAGAGGATTCTGCTGTGCTCCTGTCTCTGCCCTTCCAGCTCTGCCCACCATGAACCTCTCCACAGCCTGTCTCTCCATCATCCTCGTTGCTGCCCTCTTCTCTCAGGCCACTCCTGCTCCAAGTGAGTACAGCAGCTCCCTCTGCTCCCTCGGGTGCATTTCTGCTCTCTCTGGAAGTAATTTTGAAGCAGAATTGGAAAAAGCTGTAAAGGTTGAAAGCCTGTATGAGCAGCTTCTCCTGCTTGCTTGGGTCTGGTCTTCTTTCCTATCATCCTTTTATCTTAGGGATGGATTTTATTGATAAGTATCAAAGTTTTCAGGTTTCACCTCCCCTGATTTTGTTGCTGGGCTTTAGGAGTGGTCCCAGGGTGGCCAAAGGGATTTTTGCCCTTGGAAGTGAGTGCAAAACATTTAACAAGCAATTCCAGCCATGACTTTAACTAAGCTTTGGTGCTCACAGCAATTTATTTCTGACTTTTTGGGGAAGCAGGAAGAGAAGAGGGCTCCACAGATGGTTAAGGGGCTGGTTGTCCATGCTCTCAGCTGGGGAATGTGCTGATTGAGTGATGGTCTCATGCTGGTTTTCCTGATCTCTTCTAGTTGGGGCTGACACAACTGTGTGCTGCTTCAGCTACACCTCACGAAAGCTGCCCCAGAGTCATGTGAAGGATTATTTCTACACCAGCAGCAAGTGCTCACAGCCAGCAGTTGTGTAAGTACCAGCTCCTGCTCTGGGCTCTGAGGAAAGGCTCTGCCAGCCTTGGGGCTCTTTGTGTCACTCACTGCTTCTTGTAGCAGTAGGACATTGAGGAGAATGCCCAGAGAAGGGCAACGAAGCTGGGGAAGAGTCTAAAGCTCACATCTGGTGAGGAGCAGCTGAGGGAGCTGGGGGTGCTGAGCCTGGAGCAAAGGGGGCTCAGGGGAGACCTTCTGGCTCTGACAACTCCCTAAGAGCAGCCTGGAGCCAGGTGGGGGTCGGTCTCATCTCCCAAGGAACAAGTGATAGGACAAGAGGAAACAGCCTCAAGTTGCACCAGGGAAGGTTTAGGTTGGACATTAGGAAAAATGTCTTCCCCAAAAGGTTTGTCCAGGGCTGTGCCAGGCTGCCCAGGGCAGTGGTGGAGTCCCCATCCCTGGAGGGGTTTCCAGGCTGTGGAGATGTGGTGTGAGGGACACGGGGCAGTGGGGACCTGGCAGTGCTGGGGGAATGGTTGGACTGGATGATCTTAAAGGTCTCTTCCAACCAAAACGATTCTATGAGCATGGTGGTGTGAGCACCCACACCTGGGATAAGCCAGCACGGGTCCCACATGCAGCATGTGAGCAGTCACCTTCCTCAGCTGAGAAAACAAGTGGTCTCCTTGGCCCACCCTGCTGCTGGGAATAAGGTGCAGGAAGGGGGTCCTGGTGTAGCCAGCACATCTCACAGTGGTGAAGAGCCCAGTGCACACGAGGTGCCACCCGCAGGCCTGGCAGATGATATGCCAGCTGCCCACACACCCCATCCAGGCTCCCTGCACTGAGCATGGCCAGGAACACCTCAGCATGGCAAGGGTTCTCCCCGGGCACCTTCATCTCTCCCTGCCTCTGGGCTCTAGCAGGCTCTGATGATCGGGGGTTTGTGGGGTGGGAGCCTGGAGGGGAGGTGATCCCCTGGAGCCCAGGAGGTGACCCAGGGCTCCCATGTCCCTTCCCCTTTGGGGCTGTAACATCCCCTGCCTGATTGACAGGTTCATCACCAGGAAGGACCGGGAGGTCTGTGCCAACCCTGACACCCGCTGGGTGAAGGAATATGTGAACACCCTGGAGCTGCAGTGAGCACCAGGAGCTCAGAGGCCTCTGCCCTGGAGAAGTCCTGCGAGACCATCCAGCAGAGTCTTGGCACAGACCTAGAAATCCTCCTGCTGGACCTGCTGAGCCACCTTGGGACCCCTGAAGTTCCTTTTGTGTTGCAATGGTGTCATTCACCCATGATCACAGGAGCTGCCACGCTGGGGACCTCCTGGCCTCGCAGCCCTGTCTTGGTGTAGCTTGCTATGTGACATGTGGCCAAACTGTCCCCTCCTTGTGCCTCCACGGTTGGAATGGAAGGGGAATTTTCTCCCAAGAGCTATTGGTGGGAAGTGGTCTGTTGAAATGAGGTCTGAGTGCTGTCTTGTAAAGCCAGGCTGGCTTCCAGGCCAGCTGGCTGAGTTCTGCCATGGTGTGGGAGATGCTGAGAGCAAGATCTGCCTCCTTATGAGGGGAAGTGCTACGTTGGTTACTTACAGGATGCTCGTTGTGGAACCACATTGTTCAGCCTTGTTTGTAAAACTCTGTCTCTTGCTGGCGCCAAAGAATAAAGATTTTATCTCTTTATGTCAGCTCTGGAAGAGGTTGTTCCCCTCCTGCTTGGAAAAACAGGGCTGACAGACCCCCACTACAACCATCTGGGAGAGGCAGGGGAAGAACCCCAACCTCCCAGGTGGAAATGTCTCCTTAGCCCTAAACCCTTCCCTTCTGCATTGCCTCCCTGTGCCAGCAGCCCCATCAGGACTCCTGCACCTCCCAGAGTCATTCCCTGGGAGCCAGACCTCCCCACCAGCCCTTTCCCCCATCATACCAGTAGCCAAGGGCACGAGCTGGTGGAGCTGGATCCACTGCAAAGGGATGGCGGGAAGTCACAGGCTGGGGGTGCAGCAGCATCTCTGGGGTGAGCTGGGAGGAGGGTGGCTCAGGGGGTGGCCAGGAGGGACCATGTCCCAGCACAGACTCCTCTGGGAATGCAGCCTGAGCTGTGCTCAGCTCTGGGTACACTCTGTTAGCCTTTAACAGCAGAAGACCAGCACCAGTTATCTCCTGGTCTTCAGCTGCTTTGGGAAGAAAACCTGAATTTCATTTTAAAAAAGCACCAGAGATCTTTTGCACCGAATCAAACCAACAAAAGCACTTTATCAGCCTATGGTTTGCATTTCAAAGGAGGCTGATATCTTTGTGGGTAGAGAATGAAACTGTCTGGTCTGACCTTCCTGCCACAGAGTCTCTGAGGTGGGGGACAGGCACCTCTGCTCTCCGGGCTGGCTCCAGCAGAGCTGCCTGAAGCTTCTGAACCACTCAGCAGCTTCTCCACAGCACCACAATTATTCCTTTGCAAGCAGAGCAGCAGAAGCTGGGGCTGGATCTGGGCTCCCAGAGGCCAGAGCTGGAGCACTGAAGGATCAGGCAGGGGTGACCTTCTGGGTGTGTCCCCAAAAAGCTCTCAAATGCTTTCACCCAGCACCAGGGTCGGCACAAGACCTGGTGTCTCTTCCTGGTGATGAAGGTGAGAAGTGAGGAGGATCAGGAAACCTTTGTGGCAGGGCAGGGATGCAGAGCTGCACTGAGCTCCACCCGGGGCTGGGGAAGGGCCTTTTTGTGACCTTTGGCTGGCGTGGAGGCAGCCGGCCAAGAGGAGGTACTGAGAAACCAGAGAAGGTCCCTGGGCCACGCTCCTGGCTCTGCCTCAGTTTGCTGCTGGCTCCCGCAGGCAGAGAGCAGGACAAGAGAGCACAGACCCAAGTGGCCAGTGCAGAGGGTGTGGTGGGTGTCTCCTGGGGCAGGCACCTCCTGGGTATTCCTCTGCTGCTCACCAAACACCTCACCTCCAAGCACTGTCTCAGACAAGCCACCCAGCTCCACACGGGCTTGTGCCCACATCCCACATGCAGGCTCCTGGGGGAGCCCATCCCACCTCACCCCCCATTGAGCAGCACAGGACAACGACTTGTGGACCAAAGAGACCTGCAGAGAAAGTTGTTCTGGGCTGTCAGAATAGATGTGGAGAAATGTATCAGGGTCAGGGACTGATCTAGCAAGCAAGAAAGGGCTGGTGCTGCCCCAAGCCTCAAGAAAGGACCTTCAAGAGCAGCTGGTGCCTCCCCCCTGCAAGAGCAGCGGGTGCCTCCCCTGGGGTCAGCAGTATCTCTCCTCACAGCAGCTCTCTTGGCCAGTCCAGTTGTCCCCTCCTGGCTGCTCTGCCCTGTCTCCTGACTGCTCCCTGCATGTGTGACCCGTGGGACTCTTAGAGACCCCCAACCATGGTGGGTGAGCCCCACCAGCCCCAGCCCCACGAGCCAGGATGGACCTGGCCTCATGGGACCTGGCTCATGCCAGGGGAGATGGGGCTGGACTAGGGGGGAGCAGGGCTCCTGGAGCCTGGCTTGGCTGCTGCCCCTGGACTTTCAGGAAAGAAACAGAAACCAGAAAGGCTGGAGAAGGAAATTCCCACACGTGTCTGGGCTCCTGGCCAGGGACTGTCCGGAGAAGAGCCAGCTGCAGCCCGAGTCCTCCCCCCTCTCCAGCCTGTCCCTTGCACCCCACGTCTGGGGCAAACCTCAGATCCCCCCCAGCCTTCCCTCTCACCACAACATCCATATTCTGTCCCCTGGCAGCACACAGAGACCCACAGCAAGGGCTGGTTTGGGTTCCTGCAGTTCCTCTGCAGCACCAAACTCTGTTTCTCAGCACAGAAGAATGCACCAGACATGGGGGAGCCCGAATACCCTCAGGGGTAGAGGAGACCCCCAGGAACCCCTCCTGGGCTCCTGTCCACCCACCTCACCATGCCACCCTCTGCTCCTGTGTTCCACAGCACACTGGGGAAGCCCTGCTCAGGATACACCTCTCTGCAGGTTTTTGTCTCTACCCCCCAATGCCAAGCCCTGGCCATAGAGTGGGACAAGATTTTTGGACCTGACCCTCTCTTCTAAGACCCTGCTGTGCCAAGGGAGCACAGGGAGCCTTCCCCAGATCATGCTCTGGTCAGGAGCCACCCCCATGGAGCTGGAGAGGGGCCCTCCACGTGCTCCCCCACCACCAGCACCATGTCCTGGGACACAAGACGGTGCCTGGGCAGGGTCTGCCCTTGCTGGGGAGCTGCTCCTTGGGTGTCCCATGAGCCCTGCTGCCTGCAGGCAGCTTCCCATGCTGGGAAACACAAGACTAGAAGGAAATCACAAGACAACGTAGAGGTGCTTTCCCAGCCTTCAGGGTTGCCAGATCTGATCCATAGCTGCAGGAAGAATACAGAAACAATGAGAAAAAGGCTTTGCTTGCATTACAGAGAAGAAATCCGGACTGGAAGGGGATGGCTGCAAGGCCAGGCCAGCTGTGGGTGACTCTACTCTTGGAGGAGCTGAGCTAATGGGCAAGCTGTGCCCAACACTGTGCTCTCACCCTCAGGACCTGCTCCCTCCCCTCCGTGCTCCCACAGGGAAAGCTGTGTCCTGGGAAGGACTGCAGTGGCTTTGGTGGTGGCTGTTTCACCTCTCCAGCACAGCTGAACCCTTTTGTTTCACAGCTGGGCAAGTGAGGGACAACCCCCGTTGGGGTCATGATGGTGGGGTCATGATTGTGGGTTGGGGTCACGATTGGGGTGGTCAGGAAGCAAGCTGAGGTCCCTGAGTCTCTCCAGGCAGTGCTGCCAGGCTGGGCAGGACCCAGCTGCAGGGGCAGAGGTGCAGTGATGTTCTGGAGGACCAGATAGGTGTGAGGAGAGACGTGGTGGGGCTGCTGACGTGTGCAAGGGGGTGCCTGGGGGCTCTGTGCTGGGAAACGCTGCTGCTCAGCTGGCACAGGCAGCTCCCAGGGGTGGGTAGGGGCAGGGGGTTGGCCCTGCTCTGCACCCCAACACCCTCAGCACCGGGGTGAATGAGCAGCTCATGAGCTCCAGGTACCTGCCAGCTCCTGGGGCAGCCTCAGCACCACGGCCTCTGCTTCCTCCCACCCAGCCATGAGCTGCTCTCCTTGCTCCCTTGTTGCTCCATCCATTGCTTTACAGCAACGTGTCTGTCAACACCCCCCTGCCCCCCAGGACCAGTTTGGGGTGAGGTGTGTGGGACTGGGAGCCACCAGCACATGGGACATGCCTGGAGAGCATATTCATGCATGTGAAAGACTCATACATGTGTCCAAACGTGGCTAATTCTGCAGAGGATGTGGGAGGCAGGGGGAGGTGTGGTGGGGGAGTGAGATGTCAAGGGATGTTCATGTGTCTGCAGCACGGAAACTTCATGGTTTTACCCCAAACCATTTCCCATCATCATGTGCCATATAGAGCGTGCAGATCAGCACGGGGTGAGGTTCTGTCTCTGTGCTGGTGAACACCACACAGGTTAAAAAGCAAAGGGTTGGTTTTTTTCTTTCCAAATTCTTTATTCTCCAAAATCATGATTCCACACATGGAAGCCAGGGCCACCCATCATCCCACACCGAGACTCTGAGCCACCCTCCCATAAATAGCACTATTTATGTACCACAGCAGAAAGTACTGCCTGTCCCAGAGGATCATGTCTTAAATAATTTTAAATAACCCAAGAACAATAAAGGTGCAGAGTCACGGGCCTTCCCAGGCCAGAGGTGGAGGTGTCAGGGCAGAGGGATGAGGCTGCAGCCTGCTCCGTGCGAGCCGAGGACACGCAGCAGCAGCTCCACATGAGGTGTCTCAGGGGGTCTTTCCAGCAGCCCCCTGGAGCTCCCTGCAAGTGGACGGGGGCTCCTGCAGCTCCTCTCTTGCCCCAGGGTCCTGCATCACTGCAGGAGCTCAGGATAACATGGTTTTTGGATGACAGCAGGCCTTCTTGCTGTCTTGCTCTGCTCAGTTCTGCTTCAAGTTTTGCAGGTAGCTTTGGACCCAGGTGTCACTGGGATTGGCACAGACCTGGCGGCCTTTCTTGGTGATGAACCTGGAGAATGGGGATGAGACAGGTTAGATCTCTGCTCAGACCTGCATCCAGGAGAGCCTGGGTCTGGGGCACCACGAGAAGTTCTGCCCTGTGCCTTCAGCTGATGCTGAAGTTGGC